AAATCTATTATTCTTTTAAATTGAAAATCCTGCTTTTGGCCCACATCAGGACTCTACTAAGGAGCCGGAGCAGTCTTCCCACGGCTTAGCAGGTAAAGCCAGACCTGGGAGACTCGGGAGCACTGAGGGTGGCGGGGAGACGAATCCAGGAGGATGAAGTTGTCTGCGGTGAGGATGCATCTGGGCAGGTTCCGTTGGAGTCACCACCAGGACAGCCCAGCGAGCACGGAGTGTGCAGGGAAGCCGGGAAGACCCCGAGGAAGGAACCCAAGGGGATCCTTAGGGAGAAGGAGGGGGGACAGAGTATCCCTGGACACAAACACTCAGCGTCTGAAGAAGCAACTTCCCTAAGTGGAAAATCTGGCCCCGGTTCAGAGCACTTCTCGCAGAAATCAAACATCACGGTAGAGCTGAAGTGTTCTGCTTTTAGTGCCGGGTTGCCAGGGTTTTCAAAGTGCACGGTAGCTTCCTTCCCAGCAGAAAACAGGGAGAGCACAAAGGCAGGAGCCTGCGGAGCTTGGGATGGTGCGTCAGGGAAGTCGCACGTGGGCAAATGTTGCGCCAAGGGAAAGGTCAGCGCTAGCATCAACCGATTCAAGCCACACGCTAGCTGGAAGAGCAATGGGAATAAGGTATAAAGGATGTTACGCTGCGTACGGAATTCCCAAATGGTCTGATAGTTCAGCTCAATGATACAATTCACTGGATGAATAAACAGATTGTGGGAAAACCAAGGTAGGAACAGCCATAAAGAACACATCTGTCAACTGTTGACTAGAGAAAGAGCTAGGGCCAGGGACTTCTTGTCTAAACAAAAGGTTCTTTGGAGCTCCAGCTACTTCCATTTGGATAAACAAAAAATGCTAAGGGTTTGTAGTGGTGATGACCAGATAAAAGGATCTGGTCCATAAGCAAACTCTTGTGGTCACTAGCAGATGTGTGATGCTAACAGTTGAGTAGATGGATTGCAGGTGGTCCTCTTCCATGTTTATCTCATGGTTTCTGAGCTTCAGTAATGATTTGGTTCTAGTGAACTGAAACTACAGAATGTCACAAAAAAAGGCTTTACTGGTGAGCGTAACAAAGCACTGTGTTCTTCAGTTAGTGTGGTTATGTTATATCTACAGTGCCTTCTATGTAATACAGCCAATCTTGTCTCATATAGAATTTATATTAAAAATATTTTAATATTTTCAAGTGTTTAAGCTCAGTATTTTCAACTCTGACACATCAAAGTCAGTGGGTATTTTGGCATTGACTAACTTTCAGTTGGATTAAATTGTCGCCTCTTTTTTTGTTTTGTTTTACTGTTTTAGTGCAATGAACCTTCTGTTTTTGTTTTGTTTCCAGGGGAAGGGATTTTGCTGTTTTATAGCAATATAAAGACATAATGTAGAGTCTCATAAATCTCTTTATTTGTAGGTTCCTTGTTATTGTTAACTGTTGAAATCGGGTTTTTCAGGATGGGCATGGGATAGGAACTTCCTTGTTTATTGAATGCTGAAAGTAATATGACCTCCATCCTCGTTTAGGTCTTCAGGGCTATTTAGAATATTGACAAAGAATCTCTGCTGATAGTCTTTCCGACAAATTAAAATGCGGCATCAGTTATTTTATGCCTCAGCTCAAAGCCTATCAGTGACTTTGAGCCAGAAATTTTTATATATTTGTGTTTATATTTATATTATGTTTCAGAACTTTATTTTGTTGCTTTCCTGGAGTTATCTTGAGGACATTACTCTGCAATAATTAGAAAATCTGCCTTTTTTTGTTGTTAGTGACATTACTCCAATCATTATAGCAGATACTGAAGGTATAATCTAACAACTACTTGCATGTAACGACTCAAAATCAAGAGTGCCCTTTTTAATCTATTTTGCTGTAATACCTGATTGAAAACATTTTGGGAAAGTTGTATGGGCTTTTCTCGTATGTTAACAAAGCTTTTAACTCTCTACTTTATTTGGAATTCTTCTATTATAGACTTTTAATCTTAGTGCTCTTGTAGCCTGTTTTTTATGAGAGCAAACTTGGTTTTGAGCTGAAGACTAAGAAAACCCTGTGAAAAAAACGGCATCTTAATAAATCCACGTTTTATTATTTTGAGATCTATAGAAAGTAATAGTGGGTCAGCATGATACTGTTATGATAAAGACCTGCAAAGAGTATCATGTTGACTGGATAAAAATGTAACATTTCAGAAACAGAACACCCAGAAAAATGGCCCAGAGAGAGAGAGAAACCAACGGGAGCTCTATCAATGACAAGCAAGAACAGAGCAGCAATCGTGTTATTACAATTGTCTTCCTGGCTCTCCTCATTGACTTGTTGGGATTCGCTCTCATCTTACCCCTGTTTCCTTCCATCCTTGATTATTATAGCAAGACTGAGGTAAGTAAAAGAGAAAGCCTGCTGGAAATGCCGGGCATAAGATATTTAGGGAAAGATGGGAGAAAAATCCCTTTTCATGGACAAACCAAATAGGTGGAGGCAGAATAACGATAGCCAGCACATTCAAATTGTTCATGGACTTAATTGGTTTTTAATCTCCCAACCCTAGCCCTATCTGTAACCCTAGAGACAGGCTGAGGTCAAGAGCCTCAGCCTTTAAGAGAGAATTCTTCCTGCAGCCCACACCTTCCTCCTGCCCTTTCCAGACACACAGTAATTGCAGCTCTAGCCTTTGTCTTTCCTTCTATCCCGGCTCTTAATCAAACCACGCACCCTGATCTCCAGGATTTCTCCCCACTGTCAGTATTTTTCCTGCAACCAAGATCCTCATGCTTTTCTTCTTAGGAAGCACATCTTCTCTAAGTCCTCTTATCCTTCCGAGTCCCTTCCTTTTGTACCATTTCTTCTTTCTGGAATTCCAAGCACCTGGTTTTCCTAACTTGAATAGTCTGTGTGGAGAGGCATAGTCCAGGTCTTGAATCTTTCAGTTAATGAAGGAACACAGCTTGTGCAACTCCTATTTAGTCCAGGTGGTATCAAATTTACAATCAGCCCTTAGAAGCTACAGCTAGCAGTATCTAGGCTTCTGCCTGAGAGCTTAATTTTCACATATTCTCCCCCTCACACATATATATCCAATTATCAACTGCCTTTTAGTAGTCATAGTTTAAGCTATTCTTAGTCCATGACAACTGATCAACCAGGAAATGTTTCCTTGACAAAGAAGTGGAGAAGAAATCACAGAATCAGTGAATGGTTGAGATTGGAAGGGACCTCTGGAGATATCTAGTCCAACCCCCCTGCTCACCTAGACACAGTGCCTAGGTCGCTAGAATCTAATTCTGTTTTATTTTCAAAGCATAGCAGAACTGTCTTCCTACTCCTATTTAACAGCTGTCTCTGTTGCAGGATGGATTCTATTCGTCATTGCAACATAGCGTGGATTGGTTTGCAGTGAAGGTTGGGATGCCTCCAGAACGGAAATACAACAGCGTCTTGTTTGGAGGTATGGAGAGTAAACAAACAAACTGATAGGGGAAAAAAATCCTCAAATTCTGTTGTTTTAAGGTTATTTACTGTGTTGATATGAGTAATGATATTCTATCATGAGTAATAAGTCTAGGAGGAATTTGACAAATATAAAAATGACTTAAGCAGGCTGGAAGGAACAGGCCCATAGGTAGTTTGTGAAATTGAGCAGGGGCAAATCTTGCCCTTGGGAGGGAATAACCCTTTGCAGTGATGCAGCCTGGCCACGTGGATGAGGAGCAGCTCTGCCGTAAAGGCCCTGGTGAGTAGCACAAGCCAACAGTGTGCTGTGCTAGCAGAGGGGACCAGCAGCACTCTGGTCTGAGCAGTCAATGGGGCAAGGGAAGTAACAATCCTTGTTAGACCTTGTTTGCACCTTTTAGACCACATCCAGAGCAACTGCATCCAATTTTGGCCTCTCAGTTCGAGAAAGGCCTTGATAAACTGGGTTGAGTTCAGTTGGGCCACCAAAATGAAGAAGAGTCCTGCTCTTTGAGGCAAGGCTATGGGAGCTAGGCTTGTTCAGCCTGAACCTCAGAGCAGATTTCTAATGCCTACAGGCAGCGCAAGACTATACACCAGGGTTCATGGTGGGTGAGCAAAAGGTAACAAAGTTGAAATGAGAGGTCAGACTGGATATAAAAAGAAACTTTTCATGGCAAGGACAGTCAGTGGAATGGGTTTCCCAGGGAGCTTTTGCATCTCCAGCATTAGGAGGTTTTCGAATCCAACTGAGCAAAGCTCAGACCTCATCCCTGGTCTCCCCATCTTGCTGACCCTGTGAACAGCAGTTGGAGCAGGGGATTTTCAGAAGTGTCGTTCAACCAGAATTACCTTATGGTCTTGCACAATTTGTTCCTTGGATTGCCTCAGAAATACAGGCTTGCTGTCAAACTGTCAGGTTTGGGAGCCTGCTGTGTTAGACCATGCGCAGTCACAGAAGTTACTGCCCCTTCACAAATGATCCTCATGTGACTGGAGATCCATCAGTAGGAAACATTCAGTGTAGGAGTTAGAAGCTCAAACTAACTCCTACTCAAAGTAAGAGTTAGAAGCTTGTGAGCTCAGGTCTCGCTTGCCTGCTAGACAGCTGTAGTACAGCACTGCTTATAAATGTTATTACCTAAAAGAGGCACAGCTGCTGACTTGCCATGTCCAGTAGCGTTTGCCATTGCCAGAATACTGCTATGTCTGAGCTCCACCAGGAGTAAGGTAGAAAATCCAGGTCACTGGAAAGGATACCTAATTTTAAGCCTTTGGGAAAGGATTAGAGGCTTTTTTAGGGTGGACTGTTAAGTAGGCTGTAACAAGAACATGCTGTTTGAATCAAGTGCAGCATATATAGCATGTTACACATAAAAAAAGCCCTTTTGGTTTTCTGTGCTTTGGAAATTTGTAAGAAGAAATTCTGGGATTACAGTTTATGATATGAAGGTGTCAGAGTTAGTTTTATCTGGAACAGTAGTTTATCTTCTGCTAGTAAGCTGAGAATTTCCCCAAGATGATCAAAAAACTTTTAATTACAAATAGGAAACCTTTATTATATTATTGCATTTCTATTGTATGTATAACTGTGAGTGTATTATAACTATTTAAGTTGTTTCTTTGAGTATAGCAGATATTAAGTAGCTTCTCAATTATTTTTCTATTTCTCTGCTATGTGATTTTTGTTTCTGTGCACATTTTCAGTGAGATTACTGGCTTTGAATGGTAGGAGGATTTCCTTAGTGCTTCGGGAATGACTTTCCATCTCCTCTGAGGCCTTGCTGCCTCCTCTTTGCCCCATCTCACAGACTGTTTAAGAAGGGAGCTGGTAGCTGTGTCCACCTTCCTGCCTGTCCTTTCATCTGCTGTGCCCTCTACTCTTGGGAGCTGCATTTCCATCGACCTGGCTCGGTTGCTTTCAAGAGGAAGGAGAAATCTGCTTGCTCCTCCCAGACAAGTCTACCTGCCCCTGTCGCTGCTTGAAAAAAATACAGCATGTACCTGAGAACATACAAATAAAACAGATACTGTTTGCCTTGGAAGGGAAGCCAGTATTCCTTGCTGCTTTTTCTCAAGAGGCAGAACTATTGAGCAATGATGGGAAGGATCATTAATTACCAGGCAACAAGGGGGCAAACAAAATGGCTGAGCTGACGTAATATACCCTGTGTTTGACTTCAGAAGATTCCTGCCAGGCTGAGTTATATTAACTGACCTAAGAGCTGAGCAAGGCTGCAGAAGCCAGGGGAAACAGACTGGCCATTTTAGAGGCTGTCAGCTGTTGTCTCAGCCCATCTTGTCTGACTGCACCTTAAATTGTTATAGTAGAAGAGTTTTGTCATACTTGTGACGTTAAGCAGAGGCTGCCACTGCTGTCTTCCTGTCTGTGTTCCTTTGTTGGCAGTGTAGAAGATAGGAAAGGACCAGAGACCTACTCGCAAGATTATATTGTTGCTTTCCCCACTGTGGGATCTATCTGTTCTCTCTCTGTATCTTCTGCTTAGATTGCAACTTCTTCAGGACAGAAACGTTCCCTGTCAATGCCAAGGCCCTGGGGGCACCTTAATTGCCCTGACCAGCCTCCTCGCACACACCTCCTGCCCAGGAGCTCTATGTAAGTTCAGGCCTGGGCTTTGCCTGAGCTACACTGTAGATAGATACAGTCTTGTCTCCAGTACCGTCTCTAGCCCTGTCTCCTGGGAAGACTGCAGATCTGCACTGCAGGTGACTTGTCCCCTGGACAGCCGTGTGTTGTGGCCCTGTTTCCTTTCTCTGGCCCTGTCTCCTGCTGGTCTTAACTGATCACCCTGCATGGACCGATTCATCTCCTTGCTTTAGCAGGGACTGCCAGGGGACCCTGCTGTCAGCACAGTCCTGATTGTGTGTGACCAGCTCACAGTGTCCAGATTGTGTGTGACCTTGTGGAGCAAACCCCCTTATTGCTGCTCCCTGACAATGAAGTGTTTGGCATGACTGGTGGTGTTGCAGTGCTAGAAATGCAAGGAAGAACACTTATCTCTCACTAACACAAACTGCCACTATATCTGCAAATTTTTGCAGTTTTCTGGACTTCTGGGCTGCTCTAAGCAACTGTTCTCCCCTAAGTATTTAGTATCAGTATCCTGCCACCCTTTAAGGAGCAGAACTACTGATCTGCTTTGATTAGCACTGATTGCTGAGTGATCTGTATTGTATAATCCAGTTTTTCTTCAAAAAAAAAAAAAAAAAGCCAGCGTAATAGTAAGGCATCTTTTTGCCTGCTTGTTTGATAGTGTAATGCAAACTATCAAGTACATGAAGCTAGAAATGGCAAGAGAAAAGAAGAATTAAGGATCATAGAGGTAGGAGGCAGATTTCAAAAAATTCTGCAGTCTGTTAAGTTACTCCTACCTCTTAGTGTGTCTTAGTAACAGCAGCCCTTATGTTCTTCCTCCCATGACAAGAAGGAAAGAGTAGCTAAATGTGACAGAATCAGGTTCAAACAATGAAAAAAAAAAAATTAAAAGGACTATGACTTTAAAACTGTATTATTTCCATATGGGGAACAGAACACATAAGTTGTCAGTCAGGGAAACTTTGGAGAATCTTCATTATAATCAGTGAGTTTGAAACTCCCTTCTCACTGATGAGTGAATCAGTGAATTATTGAGTTTATCCATGTTTTTCTGGTCTGTCTGTGTATTTGTCCCCTCAGTTAAATAAGAGTGTAAGATGTGTTTTGAGGGTAGGTGGTTTCAGAGAAAAAATTGTTCTTTGTAGCAGTTCTTTAATTGTGGATATGTTTTAGAGACATGAGGGGGAGTGATATATCTAGAATATCTTGACTGTTTGTGCTTTTAAAATGTACATCAAAAGTCTAATTTGATTTGTTTCTTTATTTTAAGGTCTGATTGGCTCCATCTTTTCCATCCTGCAGTTTTTCTCCTCTCCGCTCACTGGAGCTGTGTCAGACTGCCTGGGGAGAAGACCTGTCATCCTGATGACGGTGGTATGTGTTGTGTGCTGATTCTAGTCCTGTCATCTCACTGTGCAGTGCCGTTAAAAAGGGCATCTCACTGTGGTCTTATCAGTAGCAAAAAGGACTGGGGAATTTAAAGTTCTAGGTCTGATGGTTGCTGGCTTTTTCTTGACAAGTTACTTGACTACATTTCCAATACTAAGTGCTTAAGCTTAGGTCCTCCAGTCCATAACTGTTCTTTGAAGGCACCAACATTCCTGTTTTTCTTTTTTTGTTTTTTTTTTCCCAAAGCCCTTACCACAAGGTACATGTCTTCAGACATGCTGTTTGCAAATGTTAAACTTAATCCTTATATGTTTGAGTTCCCCAAGTGCCTAATGACTTTTGTTTAGAAAGTGCTATATAGCACTGCAAGCATTTGTTATGAAAATGAGCATTTTTTAAGCAGTTTTCTGTGTTGTTAGGCAGAAGGTGGAGTTCTAGAAGCAGTACAGAGCAGATGTACACATACGTGGTGGATCTTGGCAACATTAGACATAAAAATCCTGTATAGTTCTTCAGAATTAATTATATAAGGACATGTACTTATAAATTATTATGGAAAAAAAAACCAAACAGAATATCTTCTTCCGCAAATGTATATCTGGAAAATGTGGAAAAATAAGATGAAATTTGCTATGCTTTATAAAAGAACCCTTTCTTGCTTCTGCAGATGGGTTTAATAGCATCGTATGCACTGTGGGCTGCCTCTCGGACTTTCGGCATTTTTCTTCTCTCCAGGATCATAGGTGGAATAAGCAAAGGGAATGTCAGCCTTTCCACAGCTATCATTGCTGACCTGCACTCTCCAAAGGCGCGGAGCAAGGGCATGGTGAGTGCACCTTGGTGAGTGCTTGGATCACTGCCCATCTTTTAATTGATTTCAAGTGCTCAAACTATCTTCCCTGATCCACTGAAAACATGACTTCCTGCAGTATCTTGCTTTTGAAAAGATGCCAGATCATTTTGCTGGTCAACTCTGACTTCATATCCTTATCACTTCTACTTATAAGCAAAATGCAGATGCCCTAGAGGTGGAAAATAACTTGTAAAACTGTTATAACTGTTACTCCTGGTGATAACTGTGTTCCTGATCATAACAACTGAGGAAACTGAAGGATCTTTTACCTCAGAAGGGCCCAATTTTGGCAGCTGGCACCTAGTTATAGGCACCTTCCCAAGCTGGGCAAGTGTAGCAGGTTTGTCACGTGCCTGCTGTTCTCCCGGGATGCTGCCCAGCACGTGACCCACGTGGCTGAGGGAGCAGAAGGGACTTCTGCCCTTGCCTCCTCTGAAGGGCAGTGGGCCAGATTGAAGCACTCTGCAGACTGAACTTGGCTTGAGGGTTGCAGTTTGATTTTATTTATATATCTATTTTTATTCTATAAAACCTCTGCAGCCCAAACTTCTACTACCAAATTGTTATAAACCATTTGGTGGATCAGCTGCTTCCAGGGAGAGGAAAGCTTTAGATTTTATAGTATTAGTTAATTTTCCAAGCAATTTATTATAGTTCTGGTGAGACAAAATTTATTTTTATTTATGGTAGACATACCACATTAGTAAATAAAATGGGTCATGGCCTATTTTTAGGGATGGAGAAAAAGCAGCTTAGTGGCTTACTTGTTGGTTAGCTCATATGGCCGAGCTCTTTCTTCCCTCCATTTACCTCCTTGCAAAGCAGAGTGAGAATGTCCTGGAAAGAGTGAATATACATCTCTGAATGTCTCTTTCAGAAAATGAGCCAGATCCAAGACTGTTTTGTTCTTAAGCAAGCTCATGGAGGATGAGTCAAATCAGTGTTCTTTTTAGTTCCCATCTAGTGCCTGCAAATTATACCTTGATATATGCTGGTTTAATAGTGAGCTAACAGATTCTCTTCATCATCTGCACTAGCTTCAGGCTATCTCTTCTGTCAGACACATATTCCTAGATTCTGAAATTGCTAAAGCATTTTAGGAGCTATAGACATCACTGTGAATTCCTTCTGTGGTCCTGTCCACTCTTCTCCAAACAGCTTTACACTGTAAAAGTTTATCCTATGGCTGAAGGATCTTTAGAACTGCTGGCTGAGTAATCCCTGAGGTAAGAGAATCGTTATTCCCCTTTTGCTCATAACCACATGATAAAGGAGGATCCCTGGATATCCCTTCACTATGTTTCAGTCTGGCACTGTCCCTTTCCTGCCTAGTCAGTAATTAAAAAGGGATAGTTATAGATTATTTTTTTTCCTACTTAATGCCCTTTGTAGTGCTCTCCTTGCTTCCTCAGGGGGGCTACATATTTTGCTTTGGTTGTATTTCCATAGACAAATACCAGGAGATCCAAATTTTTGAGAACAGTTTGAGAACTGAGCAACCTGAATAAGCCAATGTCTAAAACTACATGTCAGTGTTCACTTTATCCCTGCAGGCAATGATCGGTGTTGCTTTCTCCCTTGGTTTTACCTTGGGTCCCATGATTGGAGCCTACCTCGCCATGGAGGCAGAGAAAGGAGAAGTTTTCTTCCTTCGTTCAGCGCTGCTAGCACTCACATTTGCTGTGGCTGACTTAATTTTCATCTTCTTCCTGCTTCCAGAGACACTCCCCAAAGGAAAACGGGTAAATGGAACAATCTGGAGATTTGTGTTTCTTGCAAGCAGGGCCAGGATTTGAGAAATGCCGAAGAACTGGAAGAAATAAGCAAGGGGTTTGGGTCAATATCCCAGAAATTTAACTTATTCTTGGGACTGAGCTTTAGCTCTTTCTAAGGTGATGATAATAACGTGTAGTGATTTTATGGCAATCCTATCTTCTAGCCCAGAGTAGCATAAGAAATGTATATAGTTAACACAGCTACTTAATTGCTGGTTTTGGTACATTAGGTTTGAATTTCTAAAAAGCTGAGGAGAACCTGGGAGGGAGAAGGTGAACATTGAGCTATGATCACAGTGGCTCCCCTGAAGAAGAATTTCAGCCAATCCAGAAAGTGCTTCCATCCATGGATTTTTCTTCCAGCTAGCCAGTATATGCTAGCAGTTTTCTTAATCATTATCTTGCTTATACTTGATTTATCTGAACACTAATGTAGCAAACACTTCCAATCTCCAAACTGCTGTTTTCCAAATACACAAGATCTGCTATGATTCAGTGGCTTTCTGGATTTGGAGAATCCATTCACCAGCACTGGGACTGTTTTTTCCTGAGTGTTCAGGAAGCTTCTGTCTGGGGTGGGCCAGCCCAGGCAGAGCTCGAGATCTGCCTGAGTGTTTCCCAGCTGCATGTCTCATGTGGAACTGGTTGCTCATGTATACTTCCCAAGCACTGCAATTATATTTTTACAGCCCTTTCACTCACTATCTGTTCCCCTTTCCTATTGGGCTGTTTCTAAACATTTCAAATAAAACTAAACCTTGTTCTTGGTTAGAGCTGCTCACTCTTATGGTGACAACCTGCTGATGTAAGGAGGTACTGCAGACTGTTTTATATTCTAAAAGTAATTCTACTTTTGCTGTATGGCTCTGAAAAAATGAGAAGACTTCAGGATCTTTTAGGAATGTGCAAGGAACTCTCGAGAATTCTGATAAACTAGTCCATGTTGCTCAGTAGGTTTGAGTTTTCATAGGAGAGTGAGTGCACTGTCCCTGCTGTCCTGGGCTCTACCTGGGTGCAGCAGCAGGTATTTTATGGGGTGGATTTATGACTCAAAGCCATGCAACCAGGTCCCAGTCGTGCAAAATACACAAGGTGCTTAATTGCTGATGAGATAGTGAATTTTTTTTCCTGACCTCAGAGCTTCCTCTGATTATCAGTGTCAGTGTTTGGTGCCTCTGTGCTGTTTCCTGCCCTTTGGCATCTGGGGAGTCATCCCATGTGATTTATGTGCTCTGAGGTGTTTGCAATGGGCTGCCAGGCATCCGAGGCTTCTCCTCACCGTTTCTGAGGGGACAGGGAGCAGTTTTCCTGGTGTCTGGATGACAGGACAAAGGCAGATATTTTGGCTGCCTTTCCAAAACTCCGCTGAGCTGAGCTGGAGCAGGTGATCCTGGAGTAGGAATGGATGTGGTGGAAGGACAAAGCTGTAAAAAGAGTGCAAATTGTCATGATAACCGGTAGAATGATGTGCCAGTGGGATCAGACATCTGTTTCCCTGAAATATGTTGTGTTCTCATGATATCCTTGTGATGATTTCACTCTTCTTTCCACTCTAGCGAAGAGTATTTCATGTTTGTTTGAGCTGGAGTTAACTTGTAGGAAGGGGAAGGAGAAGTGGGGCAGGAGGAGCAGGGCTGGGGTGTCATCCAAAGCGGAGAGAGTTCTTTGCTGTCCTTGGTCCCCCTTTTTAGTAATTCCCCAAGTTTCTCAGAAAGTAACTTGAGACCTGTATTTTTACACTGTGAGAGACTCTGGATTTGTGTGAGGGGGCTGAAAAACCCCTTGTGCAAAGGGAGGAGCAGTGTTTTGTGTTACTGTGAGGGTAGGGCCGTTGTTTGGAGTGCTTGAAATGATCATAAAGTAAAACTAAACTTCTGAATGCTAAATTAGAAGCATAGAGATTAAATACATGTTAGAGACTGATGATTTTGAACCTGTGTATAATTAATGACATTCATGGAAGCTGACCGTGTAACTTTATTGTTTGGGAGTATTGAAAAGCTTTGGTCAGTTCAAAAACAAAGGTAGCAGTCAGTGGATGAAGTTGCTTCTAAATCACTTTCTGGTGCAGAGATAGCAGTAGAAGATAATATAAATATTGATGGAAGACAAATTCTACAGACCAACCTATGATCGGTCTTGTCTGCGTGGAAGGTAATTCAAAACCTGTGCACACTAAATAATGTTTTTATTGCTGGCAAACCTTCCTGAGGAACTTGGCATGATCTGTGCCCTGCTGTGTAAGCCTTGTCAGGAGCTGGGAATGCTGAGACCGCTCCGGGAAGTCCTGCTGCAGAGCTGCCCAGGAGCATGAGGAAGCTGCTGGGAAAGTCTCGGCAATAGATGGGGTGGAAGAGGGAATAAATTCCCTGCCCCATCCCTTTGATCTGTGCAGCAGCAGCTGGAGGACTTGCCTAAACGGCACAGGGGGGTCGCTGCCTCTCTCAGATGAGAGAGGATGAGAGGGAAGTTCCTCAGGGAAACCTGTGCGGCTCTTTGAAGATGTGAAATACTGGGTATTGTTACTGAGGATTCCTGAGTCTGTTTTATCTCTTTTTGTGACTGTCATGTGAAGTGTCAGCCTCAACTCTCCCACTTCAAAATGAATTATTTCCTTAGATACTATTTCTGCTTCTTTATTTTCTTTATTTTTCCTGAAAAATAAAATGGACTGAAAAAAATGAGTAAATTTAAAAAAATTAATTAGTATAGTATATTTAATATAGTCTAGTACAAGCATCTGCTAAGCACTATTTTGATGAGGAGCAGCAAGAATGTCACTAGAATAACAGAAATGCAAGAAGCACAAAGATCAGGACTGCTAGGAAATATTTTCTTTTTAAAAAGCTGCACATGATGAAGCTGAGCAAAATCTCTATAACTGATGTTTTCTTTGCTTCCCCAGCAGTTGTCACTGGCTGGTGAAAGGAAGCATGAGTATCAAAGCAGGCAGTTCCCCAATATGCTGTGAATGCTGTTCTCAGACCTGTGACACAGGCAAATCCTCAGCTTCACGTTGCAGGCAGATGTGCCATTATTTATACAGCAAATATTCGCAGACAGAAGGGATGAGGGTTAAAGTTAACTCAATAAAGTCACCTTCAACCTATTTCCATGGAAAATGAGCGTCCTCTCTTTTTAAGACAGTTTAATAACAGGGAAGAGCCTGTTTCCCTTCTCAGTGAAAGCTGCTAGGGATAGCATTGGCACCAGTTGTGCACTCAGAAAGCCTGGGATGTTATCGGCAGTAATTCACACCCCAGCACCAGTTAGCTTGTTTCATCTCAGATAATTTACCTAGGTACAGGAATTTTTTGGCTGTTACCGCCAATTCCGTGCAGTGTTCATTGCCTCAGCTTTGAAACACTCACATTTCTTTGTGTCATTAGGTCTCCTCAGTGACGTCCGGATTTCAGGCTGCAGTTGACCTGCTCAGTCCTTTGGCTTTATTCCAGTTCTCTGCAGTTACCCGAGGAAGAGACTCCCCTTCAGCAAAGAGTAAGTGTGAGCTGGGCTCTTTGCTCAGACTGCATGCGTCTGTGTGTGGCACAGTTCTGAACGTGACATTTCAGGGCAGTAAAGAGAATACAGATAGTCATTTTAAATGTTTCAAATATTTATGTACCTGTCCTGAGACAGGTGACAATGTGAGACAGAGGGCCTAGATGGGTGCAGTGGGAAGAGGGTGTCACAGGGACAAAGATCAGTGGTTTTTGGCCCTCCTCTTGTCATAAGAGGGAGTCTATCGGAATCTATTTTGTGTTTCGTGTGTGTGTTTTTTAAAATGAGCATCTGAGGTAAGACTTTTTCCCTATATATTTTTTTCTTTGCTGTTATATATTTTAGTGATGCTTGGAAAATATCACATTTTTTCTTTCTTTTTTTAAATAGACCTTCAGAATCTCAAAACCCTGGGCCTGGCTTATTTCCTCTACCTCTTCCTGTTTTCTGGTCTGGAGTACACCTTGAGTTTTCTAACTCACCAGAGGTTCCAGTTCAGCAGGTACAGCGTGCGTGGAAGATAAATGTTTTATACTTTCTCTAGGATATTTTCCAAAAGATTAATTTAAGGCCTCTTCATTTATTTTCAAGAGTAGCTTTAAGAGATTAGTAATAATCAACTAAAAAAATAAGAAAACAATATTTTGTTCAATTACAGATGGGCTTCCTAGGAAGAATTAAAGAAAACATGCATACTTTCTCTCACAATATGAAATGTTTGTTGCATATTCAACTCCAAGCACCTAGAGAGAAAATCACTACACAGGGATCAAACTAAAGAACCTGGAAATGTTATTGCTGGGCTGGTGGGACTTATTGGGGAGAGAACCTTTTCTCCTCACTCCTAGAAGCATCTTTCAGTATCTGAACAAATCTGGAAGCTCAAGAAGGGCTGAGGGTGAGCGGTGTGACTGTGTGTGCCGTGGCTGTGTGAGGAATGTGGCCCTGGCCCCGTGCAGCTGTGTCCCCTTTAGCCAAGCTCTAGGGGAGAAGCAGAGCAGCAGCCCCTCAAAGTGGCTCAGCTGGAGGTATTTCTGCTGTCACCTCTCCAGCTGGGAACATGACCTGGCAGCTCGGTTCCCTATCCTTCCCTTTGGGTAATTTTTGGGATGTTTGTCTCCTCTCTCCCTGTCTTTGGTTACAGAGAGTTAAGCCACGATAGCAGCTTAACTAGTACGTGTGCGTCAGGGCCACGTCCTCCTCCGTGTGGAGGCTGCTTCCCCGCAGCATTCCAGAGAGCCACGCAGGGAGATGTGCATTTATAACAGGCTTTGTGACAAGCAAGCTGGCCAGGGAGGAGAGGAGTCTGAGCTGGGAATGCCCACGTCGCTGGGCAAGGGAGATGGGCAGAAATACTTCAGGGAAGGTGGGTTTATGCTGGGGGAGACGCTGCTTCCCAGGGCCCCTGTCACCCCGAGCTATGTTTGGCCTTGGACCTTTGATCCAGCTCTGCGTGAGTGGTGGCAATTCCTTTTCAACTCTCTTGTTGAGAAACGCTTCTTTTTGCACTGAGAAGCAGAGCACTTGTTCCTGGATAGGGAATGGTTCCCGCGCAGGCGGCTGCCGCACAGGGCAGAGCTGCTCTGGATGGGCTGGGTTGGACCAGCTCCGAAGGTCCCGTCCAGCCTTAGGATCTCTGTGGTTCCACGAACGACTCGGGCGCAGGTAAAGCGGCCAGGGCAGCGTTTGCCAGGACTCCTGCTGCCCTGGGAGGCAGACAGCCCTGCTCCCTCTCCGCACTGCCTGCCTGCCACGGGAACGGGGGTCTGCACGAGAAGAATGTTGCACTGCTCGTGTGAGAACCTAACTGCGTTTTATCTCTGTTGTTAGGAAAAGGTCCAGGCTGACCCTATAAATCCAGGCTGGAATGCTTTGTGCGTGACTCTGAGCTGTGCTTTTGCCTCCCCTCTAGCATGCAGCAGGGCAAGATGTTTTTCTTCATTGGAATAATAATGGCTGTGGTCCAGGGAGGCTACGCTCGCCGCATCAAGCCAGGAAATGAAATCAGAGCTGTAAAAACGGTAAAAAAAAAAGTTAAAAATTTGCATTCTTGTTTTCCTTTTCCCCCTCAAATTTGATGTGATAATTTTCAGCCCGAGGGGCTATGAAGGGCGCTTGGAGGCTACAGCTCTACTTGTCAAATCAAAAGACGTTTCCAGCTCATACAGTTAAACGGCTTCAAGATATTATTGAAACTCTAAGTTCTTCATAGATATCTGTGCTGCAGGGTGAGCGTCTGCACAAGTAGAAGGGCTAAAAAATGCTGTGAAGATTGTAGCTTTGGTTTAGTGACTTCTCTTGCAGTACAGATACTGAAACTATCAGCAAGTAGGAACCCCCTGAGCTGCAGGGGGCCATTCCCTGTGAAAGCTGCGGGGATGACCGGAGCCTAGGCACGCGGCATGAGACACAGTGTGGTTCTGTTCTTCGTGCCTGGGGCTTTGCAGTGCCCTTCCCCTTCCTCCCTCTCCTCCTTCCATTTTATCCTCTTGGCTCCAAGACTGGGGCCTGGGAGAGCTCCAGAGGGGCTGACAGAAGTAGCCCTCAGCATCCCTCAGGGCGGGGGAGGCAAAGCAGAGGAGGCCACTCTGCTGCCCTGCAGTTTTCCATCCCTTCGGATGGAGGGGATGGAGAAGCCCAGCAGTAGCTCCTTAACTGCACATGGCCACACAAAGAGCAAAGGCAGGAGCAGCCAGTGCCACAGGTGACCTGCAGAAAGCATTTCCCCTCTGCAGGCATTTCCCTCAGCATGACCAGCCCTGGCTGCTGCTGCCGGAGCTGCCCTGGCCAGAGAGCCGCAGCCGCGGGAGGCGGTGGGACGCCCGGGTCGCTCCTGGGGGCAGCGCGGCCGGGTCCCCGGGGTGGCTGCACGGGCCCGACTCACCCCGTGGGGCGGCTCTGTCCCGTTGCAGGCCATGATGCTGCTGGTTCCGGCCTTCCTGCTCATCGGCTGGGCGGCCAACGTCACCATGCTGGGGGCTGGGCTGTTGCTGTACTCTTTTGGTGAGCACTGAAATACAAGCTAAGTGTAAAGGCCTTTGCTTCATAGTTTAAATCACTCCACTTAGAGGATCTACTTTAATTTCAAACTGTAAGTAACAGAGGTTGACTTCTCCTTTTATAAAATCTGCAAGAATGAGTTTATTTTTCGGCTGGTGCTGTTTGGAGCGGGAAGCTGCCATGTTGATAGAGTTGGATTTTATTCCTTCCATCCCCTCCACCCCCAACCCTACCTGGAGGTAAAAATATCCCCTGGGTGGCTGGGCCGGCCCTTGCTGCTGGGCACCTGCGCTGCTGCTCAGCCGAGAGAGCCCCGTGGCCTCCGGAGGAGCTTCTGCTCCGTGCGCAGAGCGCTTCCCGCCGGGCACAGCGGGTGCCGCCTGTGGAGGCTTGGGGGATCAGACGGATCCTGGTGCCTTGGAGCCAGGCCCGGCTGGGAGCTGGGGGCTCCGGCGCCGAGAGGCCGGTGTGAGACGCGCGGGGCCTGGCGGCTCTGGGTGCGGTGGAGGGGCTTGGTGCTCGGGCGCCAGGGCTGCCCCAGGCTGCAGCGCTCAGCGGTTCCCTGTGTTAGTCCCGACCTGGGGCTGCCTGGTTTGCACTGTTGCTCTCGTAATCGGTTGAGCTTTCCGGTGGTCACTGACGGGCTCTTTTGTGGATTTTTCTAGCTGCTGCTGTCGTCATCCCCTGCTTGTCAGCAGTGGTGTCGGGCTACGGTGAGTGGCACCTTTCTTGTTTGAGGGGCAGCATCAGCCTGACAAAGGAGCTGGTGACAGGGACCAGCAGCCGCGTGTGGCACAGTGCTCTGTGTGTGTGTGTGTGTATATACGCGTGTGCATTCACGTGTGTGTGTGTGCATGTACATGGGGGGG